GCGCTCAATTCAGATTAGTTCAGTGAAATTATTTTTTCATAGACTGCAACAGCCACATAAAAATAAACTTAATTCTGTTGAAAACTAAACAGCAACAATGTAAGGTAGAATTTGTTTTCAAAGAGTGTTAAGTGTGCGGGAGAAAAAAATTGATTTAGTTGGGATTTCACCTCAGCATAGTGACCATTGTCGTGACGTATGACATGACATCAGAAACTGAAACTGCAAAAGAACCATTAGATATGAATCCAATCATTAATGGGCAGGCTACACGAGTACATGTACTCTTGACCCAAAGTGGAGCTAATTCTACTGTGGTTGGTCTTAAGTTGACGGTCCAGTACAACATTCATTAGAGATCGCCGACTGTTCATGACGTCGATAATCAGTCAAAGTAGTGAAAATATACTCTCTAAATTCCAAAGAGTGAATATTCACTCTATTTGAGTGAAAGTTCAATCCCTCCTATTGAAATTAAGGACCAGAAGAAATGGAGTGAAATTTTTCCACTCCAAAAGATTAAAATTTCACTCGAACTTCCTCTGGAAGGCGCTATTTTCAGCCTTTTTCAGTCTAAATTCAGAGTGATTTTCACTGTAAAACGTCTTGTCCTTAAATTCACTCTTTCGGATTTAGAGAGTATCTCCTCTCTCTCTGTAATTTTTCCTTTTTATCTTTTGTTTTCGTTAACTGTTTGCAATCACCAAAAAGATTTACTGATGTAATGACAACGATATCTAAGCGCAGGCCTTACTAAGAGGTTTAGCGAGGATTTTAGGTTAACATTCCAGAGGTCTGAATACATAAAATATACTACAGTTTTATAGTCAGATAAATGTGGAACTGAAGCAAATTTGACGTCATGAAAGATTCGCAACAAAATTTTGCTCAAGTTGAGATCTCACCAGTTGCAAATTCGCAGCTTGAATATGTGATCTGACGTCACAAATTCGCATTTTTGCATTAAGTACGTCCTGGCCTTTCTCCTACTGAAAGCAAATTCCTATGTTTTGTTTGTTTTGTAAATTAAGTTCGATGTTTGAAACTTATGCCGTGCTAAAGCCGTGATCATGTAGTTTTATTCAACACAGCATAAGCACGACGTTTGAAAGAGCCTTGTAAGCTCTGGCCTGTAGAACGTTACGTTGAAATGGTTTATGTATGATTTTTAAACTTGTTTTTCGTTTCTAAGTGCTAATGAATACGTTCGGGTGGTTGGAAATTCCGAAAATTGTTTGACAATCAGCTTTCATTTTTTTCCTACCATTGTGGGGGATGTTTCAGTATGGGCCCCGATTGCCCCCCCCCAGTCAAAAAGTAGAGGGGGATTATACCCCCAATCTCCTGAGGTTTACGCCCATGACAAAGTGGGGAAAACGTACGCCAAATGTGTTTTTAAACTCCAGTTGAAAGTATCTTAGAGCACACAACTGGGTAACGCACTTCCGTTGTCTTTTCTCAAAGTGGGAGTACTTTTTTGCTCTCATTAGTGGGGGTAATACATACATTTGCTCGTCGCCCAGCGCCCGATGAAGCGCGCTGGGAAGGGCTGATGGCTTTCCACTGTGATTGGCTACATTGTGTACGACCTGTGACCGCGAGGTTATCACTTCCTGTTAGCCAAGCGTTGTTTCAATTTTTGGGTTTCGCCGAGGGCAATGCTTTGGCACGGGCAAAGCGACGGCTTGATAAAAACGTGACCTTGGTACAATCACTGTATGGTAATTTATCTCCACTAAGTATCACTGATCACGTGTTTTGGGCGACATATATCAAATAATTGGTTATCTTGATCAATTTTGGAGGAACCAATAAAGTGTGGGGAAGATATTTTTAGCAGTGAGGAAGAAAACGAAAAAAACAACTGCGCTTGCACAACGCATTGAGCGAGCTCGAGCGCCTGGCAGAAATTTACCCACAATGCTCTGTGAATTGCTAGCTGTGGCCCTGTCTGACTAAAATCTGTACAAGGCCATCAAGCCACTGGTCCCAGCGCATCCTATCCTGTCACCCGCTCTAAATGTTGATTTCAATTTCGAAATAACACCACTAGATTTCACTTTCAGAGCATTGTAAATCACGAGAAAAACACACACACTTATTCGTCCTATTTATCGTCATTTTCGTCTCACTCCTGGAATGGCGTTGAATTGGAAAAGCAGATTCGTTTTTTGTTATGCATTTTACGGTTTTGTCATTCAATTTCGTCATAAAATGTATCATATTTAAAATATTTATTTGGGGCAAATAAACATACAGCAACACAATCACAAGACACAGCGGGCCGCCCAGGAGAACATAAAAGTTGAAAAATAAACTGTCGCCAAAAGGCGTCGGTCTCCGAGACATAGGTATCGTTAAAATGCTTTGAATTATTTTTTTTTTCGTGAATTACAATGCTCTGAAAGTGAAATCTAGCTATTGCTATTTCAAAATTGGAATCAACATTTAGGGCAATTGACCCTTCTTTGACGAAATTAAACTTTCGTTTAAGCAGTTTTAAATTAAAGAAGTGCAAAATTAACCTGGACAACCTATATCATTACTTTATTGAAGTGCATGCAGTGGTATAACCACAGTTGTCAAATTGTCTGGCACGCCAACAGTATTGTTGGTACAGTATTTAATTAATGCCTTGATTATTTAAATGTTCACGTGTGTATGATATTTTAGTGGTCTGTATTTGTAAATATTAATGTCGGTCATATTTGTCAATTTTTACTTTTCGTCGTGAGTTTCTAACTATTTTATTAATTTGTCATGATCGCAGGGCCTAATGGAAACCAGTTTGTAACTGTTTGGGCATACCCTAGGTAAAGAAATGGAATAAATAAACACATTGATAGTTGAGGAAGACAGAGAGAACAATAGACAGAAATAAAAAATCAGGATAAATAAAAAGCGTAAAGAAACCCATAAACAATGTGGGAAACATGAGGAATACATGAGGAATGCTTTGAGATATAAAGATCCCTACCAAGAAAGAAAAGACCACTACCATGTCCAAACAGACAGGAATAACAAAAAAATTAAGGATTAATGGACAGAAGCTTTTTATTTCAGTTTATTTGTTGCTTTTGGTTTTGTTTTGTTTTGAGAATTTCTTATCTTACTTTGATCTGAATTCTCACTTTGCGAAAGTGATTACCTCTTCACGACATTGGAAATAAGCAAATCAGCCAACGTAAAGTTGAACCAGCTTTGTTAATTGAATGACGAATAAAGCTGCTAAAGGAATCTGAATGACTCCAAACGAAATTGAATGCCTGAATTCCGAATTTGAAAAATAGTAAAAACGTGAGTGGAAAAACGGGTCTAATTCAAACACATGTAACTTAAACTGGCTTCTCTTTTTTGCCGAAATTGACAGGGGAAAACCTACATTGCGCGATGATCGACATGTGGCATTCTACTGAGCATGACGAGAACTTTGTTTGATTAAATAACAACATTTTATTACGTTGTTTTCGTTGCTGTAGACGCTGCCGTCAGTGTTATAATTTGTATGTTGTTGCTGCAGTTGATGCTGTTTTCGGTTTTTGGGGATGTTGTAGTGTTGTACTTTTTTCTTTAATTTTGTTTTTCGTTTTTTGGTGTTTTGGCATCTACTTCGTTTCCAAAATTATTGCATCATTTTTATGGTGCATAATGAAAAATATGCTGCATTAGTGGCGCTGCACTTTTTGTTATCAGGGCAAAATAACTCATCATATTGTCTACTGTGTTGCTCGACTTTTTATGTACTTTTACATGATTTTAGCTAGACTGTAATAAAAAAAAATCAATCCGAAATTGAACGCGCTAAAATAAAATTGCATTTGTTTGTTTAAGTTACGATATCCGTAATACGCTCGTAATATATGGCTTATTTTCAAAATGGAAGGTTTTTTCACGAACAACGCTTGAACTTAACAGTCGGGCGGGAAATAGCAGCTTAAAGGCGAAAGTGCCTGAGTTCCCCCCCAAACATTTATCTTTTTCTTCTTCTAGCTTCTTCTTTCGTATGAGGCGACAGCAGCTAGGTTGTGTTTGAAGGGGTCTCTAACCACTCCATGGTGGCAGGATTGAGTTCATTG